GAAACCATGTATACAATAATTTCAGTTATTTGAATGTTATGTTTAATGTGATACTTGTTTTTTTTCATGATTTATTATGTGATAATTTGGCGCCAAGATAAATTTTTGTTTCACGTCTTTTATAATTCATATATTTTATTTCATTACATTTAGCGTCTAAGACATTTATGTTTTAAATGTAAGATATTTATATTTTATTTTTTTCATGATTTATTATGTGATAATTTGACGCCCAAGATAAATTTTTTGTTTCACGTCTTTTATAATTCATATATTTTATTTCATTACATTTAGCGTCTAAGACATTTATGTTTTAAATGTAAGATATTTATATTTTATTTTTTTCATGATTTATTATGTGATAATTTGGCGCCCAAGATAAATTTTTTGTTTCACGTCTTTTATAATTCATATATTTTATTTCATTACATTTAGCGTCTAAGACATTTATGTTTTAAATGTAAGATATTTATATTTTATTTTTTTCATGATTTATTATGTGATAATTTGGCGCCCAAGATAAATTTTTTGTTTCATGTCTTTTATAATTCATATATTTTATTTCATTACATTTAGCGTCTAAGACATTTATGTTTTAAATGTAAGATATTTATATTTTATTTTTTTCATGATTTATTATGTGATAATTTGGCGCCCAAGATAAATTTTTTGTTTCATGTCTTTTATAATTCGTATATTTTTTTACTTTCATTACATTTAGCGTCTAGATAAGATAATTATGTAAGATATTTATGTTTTAAATGTAAGATATTTATGTTTTATTTGTTGAGATTGAAGACTCATCCTTATGTATATCTATCTATTACTTAGAAGAGTTAAATCAAGTTATAAAAATAAATTATATGGAAATTTATTAAAAAGGTATTTTTTATTTCAAAGCGCATTTATATATATTTATGTATTTTATTTATAATTAAATATATTATAATTAAATTCTATTACAATAAATAATTTGGTAACATAAAATATTTTTGGTACATTTTCGAATAATATTCTAACTATTAAATCATATTCAATCGTATTCAATCGTACTTGTACTATGAAGAATTAATTGAAAAGTGGTAAACTCTGTGTAAATTCTACATACAGTAAGTGTATGATATTCTTCTATTATACAAACCAAACATATGTAAAAGTTAAAATATTTAAGATTAATTTTACATTTTTTTCTAAAATATATAATTGGGTCAGAAACAAAATTGTTAGCAAATATAATTAATATTTTAAATTTCTGCGAATTATTTAGAATATGATTCATAACATTAATTAATATTCTCTATTTTAAGAACTTGAAAAAAGCGCCAAGGATTATAAAAATAGTAAAAAATATTAATACATATGTATGAAAAATTTTCCTTATTCTAAATAAAAAAAACAAACATAATATTAATTCTTTACTCCATATCGGGACAATGTAAGCCTCTACGAATGTAAGAGTACTGCCATGGAACTTCACCAACAGCACTCAAAAAATAATCTGCAATAATATCCCGTTGTTTATATGCTTCAATCGTCGATCGGTGAGCTGTACTCGATCTGATACACTGAACAGCTGTACTATATTCATTTCGCCATGCTCCAGAAACAATACTTCCATCTTCTTGCTCTGTGTCTACGAAGTTGGGTGGACAGTATATTCTGTTTTCCATTGACGTTAAATCATTTATTGTTTTCAAAAAATTATGCAAACATATTGTCGCCATTACTATTGTGTCTACAGTTTTTGGGTGCATACAAATGGGTTTTCTAAATATTCGCCATCTTGATACCAGAATTCCAAAACTATTTTCGATAACTCTTCGGGCTCGTGATAATCTGTAGTTGAAGATTCTTTTTTTTTGATTCCAAATTTCGTCCAGAATATGGTCTCATTAGATTTGTAGATAAATGGAATGCTTCATCCGCGACAAAAAAACATGGTGACTTTTTATCACTTCCGGGTAAGATGCTTTCGCCTCGTGGTAGATGTAAATTGCCATTGACTAAAGCTTTATTAAAATCGGACCTTGAAAATATCCCTGCATCATTACTACTTCCATATGATCCGCAGTCTATCAACGTAAATTTGTAGTCACTATCACATGCTGCCATCAAAACAATACTAAATGTTTTCTTATAATTATAAAACAGACTTCCAGAATTTGGCGGTGCTTGTATTTGAATATGTTTCCCGTCTATTGCTCCGCAGCAATTTGGAAAGTTCCATTTCCTATAAAAGCCTTCATTATTTTTAGCCATTGTTCTTCGGTAGGGGCTTGGAGATATATCGGTGACAATACTTTTATGATCATAGCACAAGTTTCCTTAATTACATTTCTCGCTGTAGATTCTCCAATTCTGTATGCTAACGCAATAGACAAGATTTGATTTCCTGTGGCGAGATATCTATAATAATGAACACAGATCGACTAAATCAGTATGTTAACACTTCTTTTAATATACATTATAGTTATTAAAAGAGATACAAACCTTAAAGTTAAAGCAAGACGTTGCTCTGGTACTAAGGCACGATGACTCTTTTTGGTTAAGAATGGTTTCATTATTTCTAATAAGTGATTGAAAACATTTACGGACATTCTGGTATATCTGAAGAACATATAAGGATCAGTTTTCATTTCTTGTAATAAATGATCAAAATCTCCTTGAATGGGACGTCTTATATTAATTGGTCGCACCCAATATTTTCTATTAATCCAACGAAAAGATGTTTGTCTTTTTAATATATATGTACCAATCATTAGTACAACTAATACATACGCTAGATCTTCTTCGTTATCCATTGTCTGTAAAACAAACATTACAAATTGTAGCAATTTTGAATATCTTTGAGAACAATGATATTATATTTCTATTTCAAATTGTAAATATCATCAAAATATACACACACATTTCTAATTAAATATAGGTAAATGCTTAGAATTAATCTATACTATATAATATTTTCTTTCTTTTTATATATTGTCATCCCGATAAATATATAATTATTTTCCTTTCATTTAGGTTAGACACTTTAAAATATTTTTTATGCTATCGCATAAAGTGTGTTCTAAAACTCATCGAAAAGCATTGCAATACTGTGATTGGTAGAAAGTAACATATTAAGTTTACTGTGTGCCTTGATTCTACTGCTTAAGTCTTACTGCTTATTTTTTTTTATGTGCCACGGCCTTAACAAGACTATGTCTCGTTTCTCTCTAGTTTGCGGCGACTTTAACGCGCACTCCATTTTATGGGGATCATCATGGACAAATGTAAGAGGGGAGCTAGTTGAGAGATGGTCTGCCTCTTTAGACCTTAGGTTGTTAAATACTGGAACAGCTTATACATGCGTAAGGCCGCAAGGATGCTCTATTGTAGATCTATCATGGGCCTCTCCCGGACTACTTGAGTATGTGGAGAATTGGTCAGTTCTGGAACATACCGAAACACTTTCTGATCATCAGTATGTTGAGAATTAAAGGTTCAAGTCAACGATCTAAAAAAGCAGAATGTCTACTCATAAGAGATGGAATTTCGCGAAACTTGATAGTAATTTGTTTACAGAAGTAATGGTTTACAGAAGTAATGGTTTACAGAAGAGTTTTTGGCTAATGCTGATATTCCGGAAGATGCTTTACAAGAACCGGAATTATATGTTAAATGCCTCATGGAAATTATGAACAGCCTGTAACGCGGCCGCTCCTTTAGTTTGCGAAAGAATAAGAAACAGCAGACATACTGGTGGACGGCGAAAATTAGTGATCTTAGGAATGCCACGCTAAGAGCGAGAAGGCTCTGGTCTCGCGCTAAGCGCGATAGCGACTCCGAGAATATACTCGATAAGAGAAAAGCATACGGAATGACAAAAAATGCACTTAGAAAAGCTATTAAAAAGGCCAAGAATGCCTCATGGGCTGAGCTGATAGCTTCTATTGACTCTGACCCGTGGGGCTTGCCCTACAAACTCGTGATGGGCAAACTTCGCAGGGCTAGCCCTGCCCTATCTGCAACGCTCGAAGTAAAAACTCTTAGTAAACTGTTAGATTCTCTATTTCCTGGTCGTCCGGCACGTCAGGTTTCCTCTTCTGAAATCCCTCTCGTAGATGTAGATGAAATTATGGTCGATATTATCGAAGTTATAAGACTTATTAAAAAGCGCCCGAGTAAGAATACGGCTCCGAGTCCGGACAATATAAAATCATCGGTCTGGAAGAAAGTGCCGGATATTATATTCGTACACTTAGCGAATATCTTTACGCTATGTCTGAGGAAAAGTATCTTTCCCAAATACTGGAAGAGAGCCATGCTCGTTCTTATTCCCAAGGGACCAATAACTATCCCGGAAGAAGTCAAGGCACGTCCAATTTGCTTGTTGGACGACATAGGTAAAACTCTCGAAAGGATTATCGCGGACAGGATAAATAACTGGCTAGAGGAGGATGAGACACGTTCATTATCGTGCAATCAGTATGGGTTTCGTCGGGCTAGATCGACAATTAATGCTCTTCTTCGGGTCCGTGATCTTACGCAGGTTGTTATCGATAATAACGCCTTTGCGATCGCGGTGGGGTTGGATATTGCTAATGCGTTTAACTCGATACCATGGAGCGTTATTCTTTCCGTAATGGAACGTAGAGGCTTTCCGGATTACCTACGTAAGATTGTTGCGAACTACTTATCATGCAGATATATAGTCTATAAGGATATACGAGGTCGCCTTGCTGAGCGCGAGGTCTTGGCAGGGGTACCGCAGGGGTCGGTCTTAGGGCCACTCCTGTGGAACATTGCTTTCGACTCAGTACTTCGGCTTATGGCAGAAAAGGGATGTCACACAGTTTGTTACGCTGATGACACCCTGATTATCTCTTCGTCAACAAGACTCTTTGATGCCATCGTGAAAGCAAATTGCCAGAGTGGTGCGACATATTAGGGAACTTGGGCTTCAAGTGGCGGAGATTAAAACTGAAGCAGTTCTTTTCTGTAGAAGAAAGCCTCCTGTCATGCCTGTTATCAGAGTTGGCAGTGCTGACATTATGGTAGGTAACTCCATGAAATATTTGGGGGTTATAATAGACGGCTCATGGAACTTCAGGAGTCATATTAAGTACGTGGAGGCTAAGGTGTCCAAAGCCGGTAGAGCACTAAGCAGGCTTATGCCGAACCTGAGGGGCCCGTGTGAGCGGAAACGACAGTTATTTGCATCCGTTCTCACTTCGGTTGCGATGTCTGCGGCCCCAGTTTGGGGAGCAGCATTTGCATCTGCCCCGGACCAAATGACCCGACCGCTGCGACGTCTGCAGCGCTCTATAGCGATTAGGGTGATTGCGGCATATCGGACCGTGTCTTTTGACGCGGCAACCCTGATAGCTAGGTTTCCTCCTTTGAGCTTGGAGGCGACAATGCGATGTCGCATCTACAGTAGATTCGCAGACTTAAAACGCAAGAATGAATTTTCGCATAAGACGGAAGCGGAGCTACGGAATGGGGAAACTCTGCTGCTTCTTCGACAATGGGATATTCGGCTCAGCAAGCCCGGAATATGGGGCCATAGCTGCGATTCGACCCTGTTTGCGTGGATGGTTTACTCGCGACTTTGGCGAGTTGAACTATCACGTTACGCAGATGTTAACTGGTCATGGTAGTTTCGGGCATTTCCTTTGGCGAAACGGCAAACGGGAGACGGCAGAATGCTATCACTGTTCTTCGCAAGATGATACTGTTGAACATACTATCGCTGATTGTCCTGCCTGGGATGACGTAAGGTATGAGTTAATTCGCAAATTTTGCATAACAAATGCGGATAGGCTTACCTTAAATTTAGTTGTTAGTAAAATTCTCGAAAAAAAGGAATATTGGTTGTCCTTTACTTATTTTGCTGTCTCTGTCATAAAGTCTAAAGAAGAGGAGGAGAGAAGGCGTGAGAGGACCTCTCCTCCATACTCGTTAATTTGAGACCTCCTAATTAATTATTGTCATTATCTTATTTATCATTGTTTTGTTATTGCATTTACCATTTTCAATGTAAGGTTCATCAGCATTTATACCGTTACCCTATCATTATCCTCGATGTATTTGCTATACCATTTCATTATCATTTCCAGAGTTTTTTTCCCTAATTGTTTCCCCCCCTCCACCACCCCTCCCCCCTTTCCTGCTCCCCCACCCCCCTGTTAAGTTAATTGGGGAGCTAGTTGGCCGGTTAATTGGTTAACAGTTGATTGGCTAGCGGCTTCTACATGTATCCTTATCTCACTCATACATGCCTGTTTCGTAACGTCTATTTCTTTCTTACTATCTCTCTCTTACTTATGAGAATAACTCGTCATGATAAGGTGTGGGTGGGGGTTTCCCCTCTCTCCCTAGCCTATAAATCTATTGCGAGCGGGGGATTCTAGCATTGCACCGTGGCGCTAGAATTCCCCCTATAACTTACTCTTTACACCATTTGATGAGTACTAACTGCAGAAAGTAGATTACGATGCGTTTTTGCGCAGGGGCAGTGGTGGCTCTCAGAAGTCTATGCGCAAGCGGTTCCTGGGGATCACTTAATGCGTTTAGGATGCCAACGAGGGTCAATGAGGTTTAGCGAGTAGTCAGGACCGTGGTGGATGCATCCGGCCTGGAGTCCCGCACTACCTGGAACACTTTCCTCTAGGAAAGGGCGAAGGGTGCCCGTAAAGACTGGGATTCCTCATCGTTAAAAAAAAAAAAAAAGTATAAGGTTGTAAGGTGTAAGATTCAAGAAATTAACCAATCACATTCAAGTATGGCCGTGTTCCGAAATTGCTGCCAGTTTACTGCCAACACTGAAAATATATAATATACGTAACGTGCACTATAGAATTTGCAGTACTGGTAACAATATCGGAACACGGCTAATGAAGAGAATGCTCGGCTGCGATTGGTCAATTTCTTAAGGCTTAGGGCTTAAATTATCTGTTGTAGATCGGGATTAAAGGTTCGTATGCAATGGCCGTTGCATAAGGTTGTAAGGCGTAAGACTCAAGAAATTGATCAATCACAGTCAAGTATGGCCGTGTTCCGAAATTGCTGCCAGTTTACTGTCAACAATGAAAATATATAATATACGTAACGTGCACTATAAAATTTGCAGTATACTAGTAATTATTTCGGAACACGGCTTATGAAGAGAATGCTCGGCTGTGATTGGACAAGTTCGTCTGCAATGGCCGTAGCATAAGGTTGTAAGGCGTAAAACTCAAGAAATTGATCAATCACAATCGAGTATACTCTTAATATTTGACTGCGATTGGACATTTTCTTGAGTCTTTCGCCTTACATCCTTATGTTTCGGCCACTGTAGAATAGCCTTTAAGCGTCTTCTACAATGAGATTTTAAGGAGTAAAACTTAAGAAACTGGCCAATCACAATCGAATATTCTCTTAATACAAGACCGTTATTAGTCAGTTTCTTAAGATTTACGCCTTAAAAACTAATTATAGACGCTACATTAAGCGTCGTCTACAATGAAATTTTAAGTAGAATTAAGGAGTAAGATTTAAGAAATTGACCAATTGCTGTCAAGTATTAAGAGAATATTCGATTGTGATTGGTCAATTTCTTAAATCTTACGCCTTAAGTCTCCTTAAAATCTCAGTGATGATGCCGCTTCAAGAGTCGTCTACAATGGCCGTAGCATAAGGTTGTAAGACGTAAGACTCAAGAAATTGACAAATCACAGTCAAGTATGGACGTGTTCTGAAATTGCTGCCAGTTTACTGTCAACACTGAAAATATATAATATACGTAACGTGCACTATAGAATTTGCAATATACTGATAATAATTTCGTAACGCGGCTTATGAAGAGAATGCTCGGCTGTGATTGGACAATTTCTTATAGCTTAAATTATCTGTTGTAAATCGGGATTAAAGATTCGTCTGCATGGCCCTAGCATAAGGTTGTAAGGCGTAAAACTCAAGAAATTGACCAATCACAGTCGAGTATTCTTTTAATATTTGACTGTGATTAGTTAATTTCTTGAATCTTACGCCTTACAATCTTAATCTACGGCCACTGTGGACGATCCTAAAGCATCGTCTACAATGGCAGTAGAATTAATGCATTAAAGTTGTAACTCAATAAATTGACCAATCACAGTCGAGTATTTTTTTAATGCTTGAAAGTGATTGGTCAATTCCTTAAGGTACTGCTTTAATCCGTTAATCCTACTGTCATTGTAGATGACGTGTTAAGCGACTTCTACAATGAGATTTTAAGGCGTAAGACTTTGAAATTGAACATTCACAATCGAATATTCTCCTAATATTAGACCGTGATTGGTAAATATCTTAAAACATACGCCTTAAAATCTTATTATAGACACTACATTAAGCGGCGTCCACAATGAAATTTTAAGGAGACTTAAGGCGTAAGATTTCAGAAATTGACCAATTACAGACAAGTATAAAGAGAATATTCGATTGTGATTGGTCAATTTCCTAAGTCTCACGCCTTAAGTCTCCTTAAAATCTCAGTGTAGACGACGCCTCAAGAGTCGTCTACAATGGTCGTAGCATAAGGTTGTAAGGCGTAAGAATCAAGAAACTGACCAATCACAGTCAAGTATGGCCGTGTTCCGAAATTGCTGCCAGTTTACTGTCAACAATGAAAATATATAATATACGTAACGTGCACTATAAAATTTGCAGTATACTAGTAATTATTTCGGAACACGGCTTATGAAGAGAATGCTCGGCTGTGATTGGACAAGTTCGTCTGCAATGGCCGTAGCATAAGGTTGTAAGGCGTAAAACTCAAGAAATTGATCAATCACAATCGAGTATACTCTTAATATTTGACTGCGATTGGACATTTTCTTGAGTCTTTCGCCTTACATCCTTATGTTTCGGCCACTGTAGAATAGCCTTTAAGCGTCTTCTACAATGAGATTTTAAGGAGTAAAACTTAAGAAACTGGCCAATCACAATCGAATATTCTCTTAATACAAGACCGTTATTAGTCAGTTTCTTAAGATTTACGCCTTAAAAACTAATTATAGACGCTACATTAAGCGTCGTCTACAATGAAATTTTAAGTAGAATTAAGGAGTAAGATTTAAGAAATTGACCAATTGCTGTCAAGTATTAAGAGAATATTCGATTGTGATTGGTCAATTTCTTAAATCTTACGCCTTAAGTCTCCTTAAAATCTCAGTGATGATGCCGCTTCAAGAGTCGTCTACAATGGCCGTAGCATAAGGTTGTAAGACGTAAGACTCAAGAAATTGACAAATCACAGTCAAGTATGGACGTGTTCTGAAATTGCTGCCAGTTTACTGTCAACACTGAAAATATATAATATACGTAACGTGCACTATAGAATTTGCAATATACTGATAATAATTTCGTAACGCGGCTTATGAAGAGAATGCTCGGCTGTGATTGGACAATTTCTTATAGCTTAAATTATCTGTTGTAAATCGGGATTAAAGATTCGTCTGCATGGCCCTAGCATAAGGTTGTAAGGCGTAAAACTCAAGAAATTGACCAATCACAGTCGAGTATTCTTTTAATATTTGACTGTGATTAGTTAATTTCTTGAATCTTACGCCTTACAATCTTAATCTACGGCCACTGTGGACGATCCTAAAGCATCGTCTACAATGGCAGTAGAATTAATGCATTAAAGTTGTAACTCAATAAATTGACCAATCACAGTCGAGTATTTTTTTAATGCTTGAAAGTGATTGGTCAATTCCTTAAGGTACTGCTTTAATCCGTTAATCCTACTGTCATTGTAGATGACGTGTTAAGCGACTTCTACAATGAGATTTTAAGGCGTAAGACTTTGAAATTGAACATTCACAATCGAATATTCTCCTAATATTAGACCGTGATTGGTAAATATCTTAAAACATACGCCTTAAAATCTTATTATAGACACTACATTAAGCGGCGTCCACAATGAAATTTTAAGGAGACTTAAGGCGTAAGATTTCAGAAATTGACCAATTACAGACAAGTATAAAGAGAATATTCGATTGTGATTGGTCAATTTCCTAAGTCTCACGCCTTAAGTCTCCTTAAAATCTCAGTGTAGACGACGCCTCAAGAGTCGTCTACAATGGTCGTAGCATAAGGTTGTAAGGCGTAAGAATCAAGAAACTGACCAATCACAGTCAAGTATGGCCGTGTTCCGAAATTGCTGCCAGTTTATTGCCAACACTGAAAATATATAATATACGTAACGTGCACTATAGAATTTGCAGTACTGGTAACAATTTCGGAACATGGCTAATGAAGAGAATGCTCGGCTGTGATTGATCAATTTCTTAAGGCTTAGGGCTTAAATCATCTGTTGTAGATCGGGATTAAAGGTTCGTCTGCAATGGCCGTTGCATAAGGTTGTGAGGCGTAAAACTCAAGAAACTGACCAATCACAGTCGAGTATTCTCTTAATATTTGACTGTGATTGATCGATTTCTTGAATCTTACGCCTTACAACCTTATGCTACGGCACCTTATGCCACTTAGGACGACCTTAAAGCACCGTCTACAATGGCAGTAGAATTAATGAATTAAAGCTGTAACTCAATAAATTGACCAATCACAGTCGAGTATTCTTTTAATGCTTGAATGTGATTGGTCAATTCCTTAAGTTACTGCTTTAATCCGTTAATCCTACTGCCATTGTAGACGACGTGTTAAGCGTCTTCTACAATGAGATTTAAAGGAGTAAGACTTAAGAAATTGACAAATCACAATCGAATATTCTCTTAATACTAGGCTATGATTGGTCAATTTCTTAAGGCTTAGGGCTTAAATTATTTATTGTAGATCGGGATTAAAGGGTCGTTTGCAATGGCCGTTGAATAAGTTTGTAAGTCATAAAACTCAAGGAATTGACCAATCACAGTCGAGTATTCTCTTAATATTTGACTGTGATTGGTCAATTTTTTGAGTTTTTCGCCTTACAACCTTATGCTAGAGCTGCTGTAGAATTGCCTTTAAGCGTCATCTATAATGAGATATTAAGGCGTTTGTCTTAAGAAATTCACCAAATACAATCGAATATTGCCTTAATACTATACTGTGATTGGTCAATTTCTTAAGTCTTACGCCTTAAAATCTTATTATAGACGCTACATTAAGCGTCGTCTACAATGAAATTTTAAGGAGAATTAAGGCGTAAGATTTAAGAAATTGACCAATTATTGTTATGTGTTAAGAGAATATTCGATTGTGATTGGTCAACTTCTTAAGTCTTACGCCTTAAGTCTCCTTAAAATTTCAGTGTAGATGACGCTTCAAGAGTCGTCTACAATGGCCGTAGCATAAGGTTGTAAGGCGTAAGACTCAAGAAATTGACAAATCATAGTCAAGTAAGGCCCTGTTCCGAAATTGCTGCCAGTTTACTGTCAACACTGAAAACATATAATATACGTAACGTGCACTATAGAATTTGCAGTATACTGATAATAATTTCGTAACGCGGCTTATGAAGACTATGCTCGGCTGTGATTGGACAATTTTTTAAGGCTTAGTGCTTAAATTATCTGTTGTAAATCGGGATTAAAGGTTCGTCT